GCCACAAAGTAACCTGACAAGCTCAGGAGAATAAGGCCTGCATGGGCCTCATTCACTCAGAGACCTAAAGTAACCACATAGGACGGTCTGAAATTAAAACCTCCTAAAGCGAGTCATGGAGGGTAGTCATGTCCTAGGTGGGTATCTTCCTTGACAAAGGTCGATCTTTACCTTAACTGAGACTGTCTATTGTCTTTTTGCAACTACAATAATATGACCTTTGGAATGTCAGAGAACTCCCCTTTCTCAGACCCCTCCGGGCACAGTCACCCAGCAGAGCACAAGACCACACAACCCTCATCTTGCTCTTCCGCAGACAATCTCATGCCATCTCCGTGTGCATAAATGTTCACTGCTAACCATCTCATGTCATCTCTATGTGTGTAAATGTTCACTGCTAACCGCCTCATGCCGTCTCTATGTGCATAAATGTTCAGTTAACCGCCTCTGCCGTCTCTATGTGCGTAAATGTTCAGTTAACCGCCTCTGCCGTCTCTATGTGCATAAATGTTCAGTTAACCGCCTCTGCCGTCTCTATGTGCATAAATGTTCAGTTAACCGCCTCTGCCGTCTCTATGTGCATAAATGTTCAGTTAACCGCCTCTGCCGTCTCTATGTGCATAAATGTTCAGTTAACCGCCTCTGCCGTCTCTATGTGCATAAATGTTCAGTTAACCGCCTCTGCCGTCTCTATGTGCATAAATGTTCAGTTAACCGCCTCTGCCGTCTCTATGTGCATAAATGTTCAGTTAACCGCCTCTGCCGTCTCTATGTGCATAAATGTTCAGTTAACCGCCTCTGCCGTCTCTATGTGCATAAATGTTCAGTTAACCGCCTCTGCCGTCTCTATGTGCATAAATGTTCAGTTAACCGCCTCTGCCGTCTCTATGTGCATAAATGTTCAGTTAACCGCCTCTGCCGTCTCTATGTGCATAAATGTTCAGTTAACCGCCTCTGCCGTCTCTATGTGCATAAATGTTCAGTTAACCGCCTCTGCCGTCTCTATGTGCATAAATGTTCAGTTAACCGCCTCTGCCGTCTCTATGTGCATAAATGTTCAGTTAACCGCCTCTGCCGTCTCTATGTGCATAAATGTTCAGTTAACCGCCTCTGCCGTCTCTATGTGCATAAATGTTCAGTTAACCGCCTCTGCCGTCTCTATGTGCATAAATGTTCAGTTAACCGCCTCTGCCGTCTCTATGTGCATAAATGTTCAGTTAACCGCCTCATGCCGTCTCTATGTGTGTAAATGTTCACTGCTAACCACCTCATGCCATCTCTATGTGCATAAATGTTCAGTTAACCGCCTCATGCCGTCTCTATGTGTGTAAATGTTCACTGCTAACCACCTCATGCCGTCTCTATGTGCATAAATGTTCAGTTAACCACCTCATTCTGTCTCTATGTACATAAATGTTCAGTT